AAAAAAAAAACACATCTTGAGCACACAGAATATCATAAGTGGACTTTGAACGATTAATTGCCACTTTGAACGATTACGTAATTGTGGCATCCATAATTGTAATTGCGATTAATTGTGCAGCCCTACCAGCATTCCACCCAGTTTTTGACTCTCACAGGGTTTCATAGTTGCGACCGAGTGGTTTCCTGTTGTTGAGCCGCAACACACAACAAACTCAATTAAAATAAAATTGGTGTGGTCAGCAAAGCACGTTATTTAGTTCTCACTTTAAATGGGCATGATTAAATCTTGTATTTTTCCTTAATCTAAATGATCTCTGGTTAACATAAGTGCTCATAAAAAACCCCAAAACAAAACAGAATGTGTTTTTCACTTAGAGTTACTCACAACTGATCGCAATATCTTGACGTTTGCTTTCTAGTAAATGAAGCAGTTTGAGATGCATCTGGTTATATAAACTGTTTGGTGTTATTTGATAGCTGGGTGTTGATGGAGTCCTGATGGGTTACGTCTGATATAAACAAGTCCTGATGTCTATCAGTCTGGTTCTTGGTGTAGAGCACGATGATTTTGCTTTTTACTTGGCTACGAATCTTCAGTAGTGGAGAGAACTTTGATGTCTTCATCCAGAGGGGATATTGGCTCGTTTGCATTCTGACTGAAACGATTTTGCTTGTTTAGCACTGAGGTTTCAAGTAGACCACCCAGACAAATCACAGCAGTTTTGGTGATGCTTCAACTTTGTATGGTTGTGTGAGACCAGAGTATGGAGTGGAGTGGAAGTGATAGCAGTTACATATCCCGCTCAAAACATTCTTGTATCACTTTTCTGCAGTATAAGTATACCATAGTTAGCACTGTTACTACTGCACAGCATTGTGTTCACTAATGTGTTATTTTTTAATTTATATATCTTTTAGTTTTACCATGAATGTTTTAGCAATTTAGCAGGAATAATAAAATTAAATCATGTGGAATATGCAATTTCCATATATGAATGATGCATATATATGAAAGCAACACAGTGATATATCTTTTTAAATTCCATTCAGAATGTCTAATTGTATGAATTTAAATATAGAAATGTATATTACATTACATTATACTACTTGACTATACTATACTTTAAAAAAATATCTCATTCAAGTATATTCAGATTTTTTTCTAAATGTGAGTATGACTGTAATTTGGTCCCGTGAAGTTCCAGATTCTCCTTGCTGGAATAAGGACATGTCATGTTCCAAACTTGAATTATGTCTCCTTTTTCTGAGCTATGGAGCAGTAGGTCGCTTAACCTTGCAAAAAGCAATTAAGACCGTGTGTGTTGCCAGCAACATCCGTTAGCCTGCGGGCATTAATCGTTTTATTTTTTGGGGGGGTGAAAGTGACTCCATTGACAGAACACAACCATTGGATAGCTTTTTAAATTGCTTTTTTCACACATTAAAGCAGCCTATTGATAGCTGAAGGCTTGCACAAGTGCCATGTTGGGATTTGCTAATTCTTAGAGACATTGGATTTATGTGTGGATGTGTACTGTTCTGTATTTTTTCCAAATTGGCTGCAAGACGTGTACTGTATAGAGTTTCTATTTTGGTCTTATTCAGCTCATGTTATTATTGTTTCATCACGTATATATCCATGGAGCCTATACCAGATGTACATTCAGTTTCATTTCAAAGATTATATTTTTACAATGTGATCACAACTGAAGGTTTTGGTTTAGTCAGATTTCAGACAATTTGTTTGGGCAAATCCCAGTGTGCAGTGTTTTCACAGACTATTGTGGACGGCCAAAGAATCATTGGGAATTTAAAAAACATGTTTTTTG